TAGAAAAAACAAAGAAAGAAAGAAAGAAAGAAAGAAAAGGATATTTCAAAAGGATTAGAAAGAAAGAAAGAAAAAAGAAAAGAAAAAAGATTAGAAAGAAAAGGAAAGAAAGAGAGAAAAAAAAGATTGTTTAAAAGGATTAGAAAGAAAGAAAGAAAGAAAAGAATGAAAAGATTAGAAAGTTTTTTCAAAAATTGAAATGAAAGAAAGAAAAAAGAAAAAAAGATTAGTCAAAAAGGATTAGAAAGAAAGAAAGAAAGAAAGAAAGAAAGAAAAGGATTTTTCAGAAATGAAAAGAAAGAAAGAATGAAAAGGATTAGAAAGTATTCAAAAATGATTAGAAAGAAAGAAAGAAAGAAAGAAAAGGATTAGAAAGTATTCAAAAAGGATTAGAAAGAAAGAAAGAAAGAAAGAAAGAAAGATTAAAAAAAATAACGACAAGCATTCATCCTATTATAATTGAGCTTGCCCTCCTCCCCACTTTGTTATTTTGCACGACCGTTATGCCTTGCCAGTACCACAAAAACTATTCCGTTTTGATCTCGTGGAATGATTTTTTCCGCAGAAGGTTGCCATTTCTTTTATCCAAAGCTATAGTACCCGATCTGTCCTGCTATTTACCCATAGAAGATGTGGATTCATACCTTTCCCAAGGGTATTAGCGCATAAGTGAATGTAATGGATCTGACTGGAATTCGAACTCGGCTCTCCGATTTCTCAGTCCGAGCCGCTATCCATTACATTCCTCCATTTACATAAATATCCAAAATAAAATGATGTGGGTTACAACCGCTTTAGTTTCCTTTCTTTCGCCATACGGTCAGTTTTAGACCCACTAGAGTGACAAGGTGTAATTGATTTCGATTTTTTCCTCAGATTAGATCATTTGCCGTGAGCACAATATCACGAACATGTTTAAAGATTTTGGCGGTAACCTGAGTCTAAAAACTATTGTGTAGGTATATATATTGACCAATCTGTTGCAGTTTTATATATGTATATATATATATATATATATATATATATATATATATATATATATATATATATATATATATGTGTAACTAGTGAGTTAGCCCAAATGATTTGACTCACTTTATAGTCCACCAATAGAAAGTTAACCAATCAGAAGACGTAGAATATTCAATCCGTCGTGTATAAAGGCGGCCATTTTGTTTACTCTACCCGAATGTCCAGTTCCAGCTCGTCAGGCGAAGAGGAACAGAAGGAAGAACTACGCTCTGCTTCTTTACCGGGATATCCACTGCTAAAATAAACTACGCTTCCCTACTGTCTTCGAAATATTCACTGCTAACCTCTGGATTCTATACTCGACCGTCACCATGAACAACACAATCAACAATGAATAATGCAAGATTTAAACTTGGAGCCTGGATTGCATTTAGGTTGTACAAAATTTGTCGTTAGCATAAGTAAATATACATTAATGTACTTGAATATTTGTTATCCAAGTAAAATCGTTAAATCATAATAATATGATAATTGGTTAATGGATCCTTGGC